ATACTGTACTACTGCACTCTATACAGTACTGTACACTAAAGTACACAAAAGCAAAACCACTTGTAGAGGATGCACACACATGACAATGTATGCCAGACATGTGGACTAACCTGCATGATTGGACATGTGAACGCACGTTCACATCTTTGAAAGTTTGCAACTTGAAGGTTCATATGTAGGGAACTTACTGTATTTGAGGTTTCTGTTTAATTTTTTATGCTTCTGAGTTTTGGCTATGCTGAACGAAGCTACTATAAACATATAAACATATATGGGCAGGGTTTGTGTGGACATAAGTTTTCAACTTATTTGGCTAAATACCAAAATTGTTGGATCATATAGTAAGAGTATGTCCACCTCTGTAAGAAACTGCCAAACTGTCTTCCAAAGTGGCTGTACCATTTTGCGTTCCCAAGAGCAATGAATGAGAGTTCCTGGACCTCCACATCCTGTCAGCATTTAGTATCGTCTGTGTTTTGGATTTTAGCCATTCTAACAGGTATGTAGTTGTAACAGGGAAGAGTTAAATTGTACACCATGTTCCATCTGTTTCTTTGACTTTAACCTTTGCTTTTTGTTGCTTTTGTTATTATAATCATACATAATGGTCTGCCTCAGGGAACCCTGCCCCTCTGCCTGAATGTTAAAGTGCCTCTATTCCGGCTCACGGGGAGACAATCTGACCCTGCCCACCTGTGGATGACTGCAGAAAAGAAGAAATTAACACATCCCCTCCCCAAGGCTGGCCATTCCAGGGGATATTTGCAAACCTTACGGCGTTTTTACTTTACTTCCTCATCTCTTCCCCCTCTCTGTGCTATAAAAGAAACTGGCATCCAAACCCCCATAAGATGGTTTATCGGAGACACTAGTCTGCCAACTTCTTGGACTCGGTAACAAATTTGGCTTAGCCAGCCAGGATCCTTGCTGCTTGTGGCTAGCCGGCCCCTGTCGGGGAATATTGGGGCAAGGCCCTAGCAGCTGCCAGGACCATTTGTCCTGAGGATCTTCCCTTCCAAGTTCCCTGAAGCGGCACCGGCTACCCCAGCGCTTGGCAGTTGAAGCAAGGAACCAACAAACTTCAATTTGGAGCTACTAGTCAGTGGACTCAATTTGATTCTGGAACTTCGGTTCCAATTTGGGGAACTTCGGTTCCATCTGGGGAACTTCAGTTCCATTTGAGGCTGTGAGTCAATGGACTGGATTCAATTCTGGAGGGTAAGTCACCGGCATGCATGCCGGGAACATATTCCCCTCTCAGTCTGGGCTTTTCCTTTATGGGACAAGTCAATCTGGTTGCGGTACCCTGTTGGAGGGGGGAATTGTTGGACTCTACCTGATACTGGGAACTAGTTCATTGGTTTTGGTCTTGGTTTTGTGTGCGTTGATGCTAGAATTAGTGCCTTTGTGTTGGAATTTGTGTCTTTTGTGTCTTGGTGTTATTAAACTTTTAAAAGTGGAAAATACTACATCTATCCCAAAGGAGAGCCCTTTGGGGAATATATTAGATAAATGGGCAAAACATAGCTGTGAGCCTATGAATAAGAAAGACATGATAGGGCTTCCCTGGTGACGCAGTGGTTGAGAGTCCGCCTGCCGATGCAGGGGACGCGGGTTTGTGCCCCGGTCCGGGAAGATCCCACATGCCGCGGAGCGGCTGGGCCCGTGAGCCGTGGCCGCTGAGCCTGCGCGTCTGGAGCCTGTGCTCCACAACGGGAGAGGCCACAACAGTGAGAGGCCCACGTACCGCAAAAAAAAAAAAAGAAAGAAAAGAAAGACATGATATACTATTGTAATAGGGTGTGGACCCAATATTTGTTAGGATCAGAAGAACGATGGCCCCTGAATGGCTTACTCTTGCAGTTAGAAATGTTCTGCAAAAGAGCAGGGAAAAGAGATGAGATTCCATATGTAAGAGCATCTATGCTATTGCATCAGGAGGAAAAGGAGTCAGAGGGCTGCCACCTTATGGTGCTGCGGTCTGAAAGGAAATCCAAGAGGAAACCTGCTGTACAATGGAAGAGAAAAAAAAAATGAGAGTGGGGACATGTTATTTCAAAACTTAACCCCCCTCCAGCCTCACCAGCTCCCCCAGTGGCCGAGCAGGCTGTACCGGCAGTTATTCCAACTGCTCCCCCGCACCCCCAACCCCCCGCCCATGCCGCCACCATATTCAACGCCTCCTACCCATGGGGATCAAATAAAAGTTTCTAAGGTGGGCTTCCCTGGTGGCGCAGTGGTTGAGAGTCCGCCTGCCGATGCAGGGGACATAGGTTCGTGCCCCGGTACGGGAAGATCCCACATGCCGCGGAGCAACTGGGCCCGTGAGCCATGGCCGCTGGGCCTGTGCTCCACAACGGGAGGGGCCACAGCGGTAAGAGGCCCGCGCACCAAAAAAAATAAATAAATAAGAAGTTTCTATGTTACTCCCGGGGCACAGGGACCTGGTTTTAGTATCACCATCTAAGACCCGACAGGGCATCCAATTTGGACCGGGAGCCACTTCTGCAGCAGGGCAATTCCTCTTGCCCCAATATCCTGTAAGAGGCCAGGGGACTGACTCTCTTGGACTTGAGGCGTCTGATTCTGATTTCCCCACGGGAGCCCCGGGTAACATTGACAGTGGGGAACAAGTTGATTGATTTTCTAATAAATACGGGTGATCTTAAGAGGCTTGTAAATAGTAAACAAAGGGGAAACAAGTCATCCTAGGAGAAACTTGCCTGTATCTTTGAGATATAAATGTCCTATCTCGTCTTCTCAAAAACCCTTATCTCTGCCATCTTTTTTTTTTTTTTTTTTTTGGG